GCTTAGGCGCAGAAAGGAGATACCCAGGAAGCCCTCATTTTAATTCTCTCCTGAGTTCCTGTCCCCTCATAGGCTTAGTCCTAGAGGATGCCCCGCGATAGCACCCCACTATAACCATAGAAGGGAATATTTTTTTAGAGGCAGATGATACGATATCGGTCACCCATTGGGAGTCAAAGTAGAGGTGCTAAGGGGTGCAGCATTGGCAAAAACTCTATGGTCAATAGCCCAAACCCGCTAAAAAACCTCTTGTTTCCCGTTGATTTCCGCGTTGGGCGAGCCTCATCGGGAGTGACGTCATCAATGTGAACGCTCACCTCTGCCTCTCTACTGAAGGCTAGAGTTTGACGACAAGGGACCAACTGCGATCGGAGGGCGGGAAGAGGGGCGTTCAAAAAGTTAGTAAAGGCCCCCCCAGGCCGCTGCGGGTGCACCCTTCGCCCGCGAAAGTGCCATATTCTGCTCCCTTGGTGGCCCAGCATCCCTTGTACTGGGCACATTTGCCCATCTTCAAGGTACAGGTTTTCGGGCCACCTGCCTTTGCAAATTTACCCGTATTTTTTGTTCACCTCTACCTTTCACTGTTTGCAATGGCTTAACCTTCGCAGCTATCTTCCTATGCTATGCCACAATCTTCTGTGTTATCCCATTATCTTCCCCAAAGTTTCCTTATGTGTGGAATGCAGAAATAACGTCTATCATCAATGGCAAACTGTCCTTTCGTTGTTAATTCCTCCAATAAAAAACACCTTGGGCCCACCTCGGCTGACTCCTTCTGCTGTTCGCCGTTTCTCGTGGTCGATTCCATGCGAATGGGACCGACCACGGCTCGGTTGCGCGGGGCTTATCCCGACGTGGCATGTTCGCGGGTATCTGTGGATCCGCTTTCTGAAATGATATGCTTGTCATCTGAGGCTCAAAGTTGGATGGGACCGGCCGTTGCCCGCATCAACAGTTCGAATGAACGCTATGAAATTGCACGACAAGGCTTTCATAGCAACAGTTGAACAGACAGGGACATGAAGATGCGTTGAGGAGGGAAGACCCCATGATACACACATTTCCTTTTCTGGCATAGTTTCCACTGTTCTTCAGAAGTGGGCGCTTCTCGTTATTGTATGCACTGTAAAATATGTATCGATTTTACGCCCAAACTTGTCATACTTCCATTTGCATCCCAATAACCTGTGACACATTTGAAATTTCAAGAAGCTGGTGCCGGCTACATATTTAACTGGCAAAAATGTGAGCACTTCAGTCGAAGGTTGGCCAATTAGTATTGGCCTGGGTTATTCGTGGAATATTGCTTCGATCAGTCGCCGAGCCCTTGAAAGTGTACGCGAAACTGGCCCGATCTCTGCCTTTATAGTTTCCTAATCATTTTCCGTAGTTAAACTGTCTCGTCCGTTTTGTAGAATCGAGGACGATTATGTTATGAATCGGATATTCATGAAAGGAAAAGATGGAATAGTGAAGAGGGTACGAATCATGGCGCTTTTTACGGCAGGGCTTGCTGTCAGCGGCGTGATAAGGCGCCAAAGGTGTCTCAAAACCTCTTCGGTTCTCAGACACGCCCACCGCTGTATAAATGGTGAACTCATCCAGCCGCTAAATCAACGAGCAAAACAATAGTTCCCTTTCTGAGGTTTCTGACCAATTCTTTTTCCTTTTTCACACATGCACCAGTTGGTACCCCTGCCTTTGTCTAATATCGACACTAACTTATTGGGGTTGCGGCTTTTCAAGTTTTACTCCCGAGGTTCTTCACCCAGGTGTATTTCACACCTGGCTTGCCTTCGAACAAATTTCTTTTGTCAAAATCTACATCGAATTTAGTACTTTGAATTAAGTTATCTTTTGAGAGTGGAGCTAGAACAGTGTAGCCGCACTGTCATGGTTTGATGATGAATTGTAGAGCTTGATTATGCTCTTGCCAACTCCAACCAACCTCTGTATCCCCCCCCCTGCGCCCGTCAGTTGGCCTTCGCGTCTTCAACGAAGGCAACCTCACGCAAGAGTTCATGCAAGGTGGTATTGAGGGCCCGCGTTACGAAATTTAAGAAAGGGCTTCAGTGTTGACCATGTGTGATACCCCAGCTATCAAAAAAGCAGAAACAATCCGTCAAGGAAACTGTCCAAACGACCCCTTTTGCCTTTGTTTTCACTTCATTCTAAACAGTAACGAGCTAACGATAAGAAAGGGGAGTTATGAACGAGGTCACCGTAACGCGTTTGATGGCATCATTGCCAACCGAGCTTTATTCCTCATTGGCAACCAAGTAACTGCTTCGTGCAGCGCATATGCTTCCTGATGCGCTCCCTCTTTATCGAATCACTTCCTTTGAAGAAGCGGGAGAGCACGAAGATTGTGGAAGTTGCCATCTGTTACCCACTTACTCAGCCTTCCCTTCTCTATTTTATTATTCGTCCACTGCTGTAAAGTTGTATGTTTCTGAGTATAAGGACAGATGTATATGATGGACAGGTAATGAGCAGGGTAATCGTTTATTAGAGTGTAACGGACTTACTCGAGAGTCCACTGATTGAAACATCAACTGGCCTTTCGCAAATCATCAATCAACTTACGCTTGCCTCTGCCATGACGAACATAGGTAGAGTGCATGGCGCACACCGAAAAGCTATCTTATCGATTCATACTTCTACGTTCGGTGGACGTCACAGAACAAGCCCATTAATGTGATTACGACGTAAGGTATTGATCCCATCCCGTACTGGCCCAGCATTCATCTGCATTCTCTATTCACACTTTTGCTGCTTGGTGTTTCCAGTTCGCTGCTTTACTTTCTCCTGCTACCAACTTCACCGCCGGCTCACGGTGCATCGTCTCCATGCATGAGAGCTTGAAGGCGGATGGCACGGAAAATCGTTTGCTCATTTGAAGCTGAAAGTAGAGGTGTTGAAGGTGCAAATTTTGAAGGAACTTGAGAGAAAACGGCTTTGAGCCTGAGAACTGAGATCCCTTCTTCCTTGTTTCCTCTTTTGAAATGGGCCAGCGACCCAGACGAGCTCATTTGCAAGTGTTGATCCCGATTGCCGATATCATACCGCCAAATATCATCCTTATTGATAACGCATTGCATATTTAAACTAGGCCGCTTTAACTGGGATGTTTTTTGAATGAAGATCAAAGTATAACAATCACAGAATCTCAATCTCACCATCAATCTCCGCTCGTATCTTCCGCTCAAGAGCCTGGGTTCGCTGACAAATGGGATTTCGCCAAGAGTTTTAGGGTTTATCTGGGTTTGCGAATAGCGCTCCACCTCCCGTCGCCGAATACTAGTCTCTCTCGCTTAACCTTACGGAACGACGAGGAGCGTTTTTAAAGAAGCTCTTCTCGTTCCTCTTCACCCAAATTGCTCGTAAGATCTGTCTTCAAATAACCACGATCGAATAGGCCCTCGTGGATAGAAAAAATGCAACCACGTACAAATCCGTATACTTCTTTGAACAACAGTAGTCATTTCAACTGTCTAGCCGCTTCATGCCTACCTAAATGATCTGGAGAATCAAACAAAAGGGAGCTTTTTTCAAAAAAGTCTCAACGAGCTTGTGTGGGTCAAAGGATGATTCCACTATAAGGGCGACGTTTGAAGAAGGGAAAGCTCACCTAGTGGGAAAACAGGCAGACTTCCTAGGAGTGCCGACCAGCACGCAAGGTAAAGTCTGTCCTGTTCACTCGAAAGATTATGCTCGCTTTCTATCCAACCCCCCCCCCGCGGCGCTGTGCGAACACTATCGACGCGCTATCGGCCCCCTCTTGCTGTGTGAGCCTCCAACCGTTTAGCACAAAGGGCGCTAGCGTTGAAGACAGCATCAATGAGAAGTCGAATAAGTGTCGAAATCATTAGGGATCCCATCTCTCCGGTTCTGGGACTGCTTCACAAATTCTAATAAAATCCAATTTACTGCTGTTACTTGAGATGATCACTAATAGATTTCAAACATTCATTGTGCAGTTTCATGCATAAATACAAAAATGAACTACAGTAGATATTCAGAATGTCTAAAGGAAGCACAGAATGTCGAAACTTCATCAACAAACTCAAAAACCACGTAGATTGCATGGAACCGGAACCGAAAAATACAAAACAAAGAAAATACACATGTGTGAGAAGGCCTCATTATGAGGATCAAGATCATTGTTCAAATTTCAAAAAAAAAAAACAATAAGAGGTTAATAATGGTTTTACACATTCCACAGAAACGACATTTTACGTAGGTGACGAAGGACAGCATACAAAAATCAGTCAAACATGCAGACGCTCAAAAATGATCCTAACGATCTCCTGTTCATATGGCGCCCAGGACTTAACCACAACTCAAAAACTCACCGAAAGATCTTTTATGTGATACAAAATTCTGTCAAAATTACTTATGTCGCTTTGCAGGTGGAGCTCCTTTTGATCCGCTGTGCCGGTCGCGGTGTCTCTTACGATCTCTGTCTCTGTCGTTGTGTCGTCGGATCGCCACCACCTCTTTCATCTTCAATGTCTCGTCGCTTGTCTGCACGAGCTGCTTCCTCTTCAAGATCTGACCAGTCCTTTCCTTCAGATTCAATCAGAGTCTAATGATCCTTCTTCTTCACTCTCTTCCGAGTTTTTGCTTGCGACGTAAGTATATTAAAAATATTAATAAACAGTGAAATAAGCAAACACAGTCCAAACAATTTTTGTTTCCTACATTATTACCTTCACTCTCATCCTCATCACTTTCGTCTTCACCTGACTCCGACTCACTAGGCGTATACGCATCTTCTGATTCGCTTTCCTCCTAAAAAAGATTATGTGTATAATTCACTCAACATATGACTTACCGCGTCCGTTCATGAAAGTGGATAGCTGAGTCGTCAAATGTATTACCCATATTACCCCATCCATAAGTTAATTTCACTTTTCGATCAGGAACATTTTTAACGCGGCCCATCGCTTTGCTTGGCAGAACACTTATCCGAAATATACTATTAGACCGACGTCATAGTCGGCGACGGACCAAGCGATGGAGCGATCGCGATCGCTCCATCGCTTGTCCGTCGCTTGCCAATCGCTCTCGGTCGAGCGATTGGCAAGCGATTGCGCAATGTGCACAAGCGACGGGCGATTGGCCCCGCCCCCAGTCAATGCAGTCGGCTGCGGTATCGATCGAGCAGAGCCATTGCCCGTCGCTTGTGCACTTTGCAAGCGATTGCGCAATCGCTTGCAATCGCGCTTGCCAATCGCTCGACCGAGAGCGATTGGCAAGCGACGGACAAGCGATGGAGCGATCGCGATCGCTCCATCGCTTGTTCCGTCGCCGACTATGACGTCGGTCTTATTGTTAAGTCTCAGCGGCGGAAATGTCCGGGTGAGAGGTCGAAACTGCCCTATAGCTCATGAATACTGAACAAAAACCTAGGGAAAAACGGTCTACTAAGACCCATAAACGGGCCAACTGTTTTTCCCATTGACTTTGCCCAAACGCGGATCAGTCGCCATTGACGATGAAAGCTTCTTTCTGTAGACCTGGCCCACTGTACGCTGGGCCTGTGCTCCCTTTATCTATAGGATTAAATCATTCTTCTTCAAGTCCTCCAATTTATTGTATCACCTCCTTTCATAGCAACAACACTAGATCGAATTGGTGGGGTTAGCGACCGATAATGAAATATTGGGCTCCTAATTGACTGGAAATGAGAAAAACCAAAGCAAAATGCCGACAACCCATTGACAAGTATTCCTTTTCTTCCCGTGGGGATAAGAAAGAGGCAGAGTTTTCCAAAACTGCTTGTTCACGGCTCCAGTAACTTGTTATTTAAATCAGCCGCCACGGCGTAATCCACGCTGCGTACCATGCGAAGTGCACGAGGGAGTCTCGTCCGTAAGCTCACTTTGTGAAGCTCTACCGCTACTATCGTGCACTTTCGAGCCGCGACAGCGGCACATCTTTGATACTCGTTAGCTACTAGTTTTAACCCACAGAACAGACTCTTCTCACAAATTTGGGACTGCTGCTCTGGACACAACCAACCTCTGGCTCAGCATCCTGATCGGAATCATTAGCAAGGAAATTCCATCCTCCAGTTTCAAAGAATTCCTCCGGATCATCCGTAATAGTCTAAATCAAACTCAGTTTAACAACAACCTAAAGAAAGGAATGACTGGTCAAACCTTCATAATTTTTGGCCAATTCAAGGACTGTATTCCTTCTGTGTATCGCAGATCACTTGTATTCAACCATTCCTTAAAGAGAATCATTTCTTCTTCTTCAATGAGGCGGTTGGATACGAAACCCTTCACCTTTACACTATCTAGACTGCTCATTGGAATCTGCTGTACCATCTGAGTTTTACGGCTGTAATCTTTGAATATGAAAACCATATCGAAATTCTTCAGCTGGAAGGAAACTCGCTCGAAGTGTACCAATTCCACTTCATCCAAGAGTTACAATGAATGGTGGCTGAAAACTTGGAATCGTGAAAATCTCTGCCAATCAATAACTTTACAAACACAGCAGTAAAACTTGCAGAAGTTGGAAGTGTGAGACTTACCCATTCCGTAAGGTTCACCAAGCACGACGAGGTAGGTTTCAGTGTGCAGCTGGAGCGATGTGGAACACCGAGGAAACCGAGTTCACTGAACGGTGCATCAAAGTCGAACTGATCATTGGTCTGTTTTACAACCTGAAACAAAGCTTGCTCGCTTTTGTATAAGTAGGCCTGAGAAACGGTTGCAGGTAGCTGAAACCATGACGGTGGTGACAGTCAAGCTGCGAAGGTGAGGTGTTCAAGAGCATTCTGCTTCCATTTTTAAGCGTACACTAGGCGCGACTTCACATTACACACTGCATTTGCATAGCATTCATTCTCAAAACATAATTTCCGAACATCTTACCTTATCGCAGAAGTTTTGGAAGGTCTGGTTCAATTTTCGCCGCATTTCGCGTTCCATCTGTAAACACATCGTATTTAGCAGAAGATTCGAACCATTTTACCAGTAAGAGACCTACCTGTTCACTTTGTACGTCATCGCGATCCTGCATATGATGGTATTTCCCAAGATCCGTAGTGATTTCTCCAACTTCGGTATAGAATTGAATATCTCTGCAATTCATCGATTTAAAAAGGGGTGAATACGGAAACACAAGTATGAAATTTACTTGTATTTTTTCTTCCCCCAAAGTACCGGATGCTTCAGATGGAAGTGCAACAGAATGATCATTTCATTGTCACATGGTTGGAAGAACGCGTGCTTGATGTTATTGTACAACACATCAATTCGGTCTCCACGGAGAGATGTGTATCTGAATCAGGAGCATCAATTTTGATTGAGCGAATCAGGAATAAAAGTTGCAAAAACAGAAGAGCAAGACAAAGCACAGAACAAAAACGTAAACGCACCGGAAACCATTGATGTGCGCTTCCAGTGAACCTGAGATACGTTTCGCGATAATATTTGGTCGCACAAATCTGAAAAAAATAAGGGAGTGGCTACAAGTACGAGGGAAAAGGAGTAAAGTAAGTAACTATTCAACTAAAACTTACAGATCCTTCAGTTTCGGATTGGCCTTTGCGGTGCTGAGAATCAGTTTATCCTGCTTTACAGCGCCTTCTTTTTCGCGCTCTTCTGCCTCTTCAGTTCTTAAATTTTGAGGTAATTAAGAACGATGCTATAGTGACCCTTACTCAACATTGTGTGTCAGTTTACACAAACTTCGCACCTAAATCGCTTCTGAATTTCCTTGATAAGTCGGAACGCCGTAGTCAAGTTGTTACTTGGCGCAGCAATTTCTCCGTGTTCTTTCACATTACTAGCCCTGAAATCACTGTTTAGAGGCTAATTCAATGCACAGGAAATGTAAACGAACCTGTATGTGAGCTCCTTGAGATACGTAGCAAGTGGATTTGGGAATTGTGCCAATTCTTTGCCAATTTGGGACCCAGGATGAGCAAAATTAATACGCAGGTATGTGAAATCACCTTCTACAGATTGAGAGCAATTCTGGAAAAAAGTCATTTTTTGCCAATGAGGAGGAAAAATGTTCACTACAGAAGAGGAATGGCTACCTCACCTTTATCATGGAAATATGGAAAGGAACCGGGATACCAAAGATAGGTAGAATGATGGTATCGTGGCGCTTATCTGAAACATTTAGGACTAATGGAAAACTCTATATCAAGATGGCAGACATTCAATAAGATAACTTCTTTTAATTTTTTCATGACCGTAAGCAAGGTAACAATGAAGGAAGCACTCACCAACATAAATGTTGAGTTTGTTGATTTCTGTGTCCACCGGGAACTTATCATATGACTTGTATGATACATTTGATTTCTTGACTCTGAACGAGGCTGGTCATTAACATTTCACGAAATGAATTAATTATCCACGTACTTCTTAGCTTCACTAGATCCACTAGCTTGAGCAAGACGTTGACGAGCTGCGTCATTCAGCTGTTGTGCCAGCATCTTTTGATGCTCTTTTCTCTTATCCTCATTTGTGGCCTTGTTTCTCGTCTGATCCGATAGCACTACACTGCGCTTCCCACGTCCGAGCACTTCCGTGTTTTCTTTGTTCGAATCTTTCGCTGGAACTGAGATAGTTGGTAAGAGAAAAGATATGAGTAATTCACGTGTCTTTACCATCTTCTTCCTCCTCCTTGAATCTGATGACACTGTTCTTCAGACGACTTTTGGCTCTCTCGGTCAGGACTTCGTTCTGTCATCTTTCACAAGAATCTATAAGGATTCCTACATCTTGAATGCGACTTCTTCACGTCCAGAAACTGCGATGATTCACTTCAACTGTATAGGATCAAATCTGATAGGCTCCACCAGATCAGAAATTCACAGATTTCGCTATTGAAAAAATGAGCTTCACAAATCATGATCGGGAAATTATCGTGTAACAGTTGCGGTAAAATAGAGAGCGAACATATTTCGCTTTTGGATGAGCTACTGCTACCTTGCTTGGGAAGGGAGCGCCCACTTTCAATATAAGAATCATGATTGAAACACTCACCGTGTCAGAAAGTGCGATTGTAACGTTCCTTCCTGCATCGTCTTTTGCTTTAGTGTTGGTAAGGTTTTCAACTCCAGCTGATACTATGAAAACCATGCCAGCGCGGACCTGTACAAACATTGGATAAATATGTCATATGGAACTTTCCTCTCTTCTCAGCAATGGAAAAGACAGACCTTCTCCTCACATTTGGGACTAATTGTTAAACCACCCTCACGAAACTCAATACCGGTAACAAATCTGGAAATTTGAATATAAATAGTTCACAGAAATGAAAGTTTTTGTCACGATGACAGAACTTACCCAAAATCCTTTTTGTAAAGATTATCCGCCAGACTAGGACATTTCTCCCGGAACGTTTTTACACCCAAGGCGTGAACATCAGACAATTTTGCGCCAGGCTTCAACGCTTCTATCACAGCCATCTGCGTGGCAAGAAGGCCCTCATAAGCGTCTTCTAGATTCTTAGACGGTTCCACCATCAATGTACGAGTTAGATTGGTACAATAATTCTGCAAACAAATCGAAATCACTCGTATAGCCAAAAACTGCCTCAAGCAAAGAAAACGAGATAGACATTTCAAAACCAGTATTTCAAGCAAGCAAAAAAGTAGATTGTCAAAAAATACCTCGAGACGAGCTCCAAGCGACGTAACAATAACACCATAGTGAAGAAGTTTGTCAGAGCTAGAACGGTGCATTGATGCAGTGGGTGAAATTTGGAGAAAGTTGTGCTCATGATCAAAATCTAACCTCTCTGTGCTCCATTTCAGTGAATAATTGCCACCACTCATAATGATAGGATTATAGCAAGTCTCTATGGTCTTGTTCTTCGCTAACTGCCCCTGCACTTTCAATGAGCCAATTTCCGCATCAATTTCGTTGGCAAGACGCGAATGCTTCACTTTCTAAATAATTTTGTTATAATGATTGATGAATACCCATAACACCCCTGAGGCGGTAATTCAAAGAGAACCTTTTCTTGATCAATGGCTTCAATGAACTTTTTACGAGCATAGCTCCACGCGTTCACAGTAGCTGCAGCTGAGCTACGACAGGTTTCGAGCTCGGCGTCATCTTTCACGGCGAAAATTTGAACAAAAGCTCCAGAAACATCCACCTAAACATTACCTCCTACTTCGATCAACACAAGCGAATGGATTTCTGGAATAAGAAACAAGAAAAACCGCAAACCTTCTCAACATCAGCAAATGCCTTCTGCCAATCGTTGCTGAAATCCGAGTCAAACGTATCTTTAGCAAAGTGGCCAACTTTATTTCCGGCATCATTTTTTATATAGCCCAAGAGTTTCGCGAAATTAGCCGCATCTTTGTCAGACTGAAACAAGCAGAGGCTTTCGAGATTTTTAAGGAAATCATGTGAAGCTCAACACTGTACCTTGTCTCTGTGAATGGGTGTAACCGGTGGCACTACTCCGACAAACTCGTCCGACTTGACACTGTTGAAGTAGTCTGCCTTTCGATTGCTTGCCAATACGTAAATGCCTGAAGCAACCAAGTCCAGGGCAAACTAGCAACGATAGAAAACGGAAATATAAGCGGTCGAGGCAAATATAGTACTAGAATAGAGCGACGAACCTTTCTTCGTGAACAGCATCAACGTATCCAACAATTCCGTATTAAGCATCCATATCTAGAATGAGAAACTATTCAACTATTCATAAGTAAATCAGGTTTCCCCACGAATCGCAGTTACGCTCATCAGACTCACTTGGAACGCCTTCGATTTCGAGTACTGTACCGCGCCTTCATCTTGACCAACTAGAACTACTAAAGCATCTACCTCACCAAGTCCGTCTTCACCTTTATTCTGAAAATTAGTTCTAGAAACAGTGATAGAAGATCCGATGTGATCCTTGCAACGGAACTGAGAAAACTAAGCGGAAAAAAAAAAAAAAAAATCAAAATTAGCTAACCCAAGTTTCATAAAGAACAGTCGCATGCCGAAGAAACAGCTCCTTGTCAGCCGTGAGCACCTTCTTCTCCGGCATCACCTATGGAAATATTATCAGCGCAGTTTATAACCGAGCACTTAAACTCTTCGGGAAGTCAACTATGCATGATAATCATGGGTGAACACCCAAACCAACCACATACACAGTCAGTTGCATCTATTTTAGCTGTACAAATCAACGTTCCAGCGTCAAAATCAAATCAATCGATACAATCAAACCTGATGACAGCAGTAAACTATCGCTACGAGAAAGTCTATACAACGAATCGAACAATAGACTAGAGAAGATAACCAGTAAGCATAGCAAACTACTGGTCGTATGTACAAATGTGTTATAGGTAGGAAACGATTGTGTGAGAACGAACTGGCCACAGTGACGCGTAAATATGAGGTACAATGTTCTACATTTGAGATTAAAATTATTAAGGCTCCTAGAGGTTTTGGCACTTCCTCTTCCTCATCGCTTTGCCTTTCAGAAGTGATCTCCGATTGAACTGCACTCGATTTTTTCTCGCCTGTTACTATCGACTGAACTACTTCGTTAAAAGCATCTGGTGCGTCAGCGTAGACATGGTGCCCAGCACCTCGAATAATCTAAAACGGAGGATCAGCGAATTGCGTTTTGACTATTTCTCTTATTCTCACCTGCACATCAACGTATCCATTCCTCTGCGCTTGAATATCGAATGCTGGTCCAGGGTCTATCCAACTTTTACTGCCATAGATAAACGTCACCGGCACACTATCGTCGATGCCATTGAATCTAAAAAAGAAAAACTTTTTCCCAACAAGAAAACGAGTCGAAAACTCTGAATGCTTGACAGTTAATTACAAATAGCACAATTTGACGAATGAATGGACAAATCCCTAGACGAACCTTCTCATCATAGGACGTTTCGCCCATCCAAACGGCAAAGTCATGCCTTTGAATGCTGTCTCTCCGGTGGGTTTCTGAGCATTACAATGGTACAAATATTCGTAGATGTCGTCTGGATTCTCGCTTCTATATCGATGTCGAAGATCGGGACGCAGCTTCTTCACTATTGTAGGACCTGAAGCATACAAATTCTAATTCGAGCTCATTCACACTCACGCACATTTTTCAACCATTTTTAAACTGGATGACAAGGTAAACACGAAAAACTATCAAAGGATATAATTTATAGCCAGCCTTAACTTACCATATGGTCCGGCTGCACGAAGAGTTGCCAGCGGATTGAAATATGACAGAACTCCTCCTATGAACATCATCCATGGATATGGAGTAATCTGGAATGAACCGCTGACTTAACCGGAATGGACAAGAATGCTGTAAAACAAATCAGACCTGTTTCTCTGTAGGTGCAACCTTTTCTGGAAAACCCCATGGATCCACGAGTACCAAATGCTTGACACGATGAGGATGTTCAAGTGCATAGGACGAAGCTAGGTAAGCGCCTGAAATCGAGAATTGAGAATCGCGTGCCGAAGCCCCCTGCAGGAATAATTGCTTCGTTGTGCCCGAAATCGCGATTTGAGTCGCTCACGTCATCTTCCATTCCAGATTCTGCTGAGCCCGCTTTCATTTGAGCAGAAGTTGTTCACTAATTTCTGATACTTTTGGTTTTCTTTGATTCACAGTTTCATCCAAAAAGTATGAGCGAGGAGGGGTAACGGCAAGTGATGCTATTATACGAATGAAACCCAGCGGTAAAAACCTCAAAAGATCATGCCAAGACCAGCCGGCCACTCAAAATTTTCAGGGTTGTCAACTTTCACCAGACTTCAATACGAAACACAAAGCCAAAAGCCGTTTGGACTTTGATTGATGACGCAAGGTGCATCTGAGGAAATATGTTTAATGCCAAGAGGTGTTTTTCTGCAAAGTTTGACATTTCTAAAAGAAGCGATAATCTTACCGAATGAATGAGCGACAAGGATACATCTTCTCTATGCCCATTGACTTTCGCCAATCTTCAATAGACTCCACCATTTCTAGCTCAGCTAACGTCGGATCGTTACTGAACCACGGGCGCGAAGAACGGCCAAAGCCTGGAAAGAAGCACAATTTTT